AAAAGTAAATACATAAATACAAGTTTATTTGATTAAACACAGAAAGAAAAACACTGTACAACACTTTGATAAACACTGTATGAGATGAAATATGGATGCCATCATTGCCCGAAAGTACGACACAGTATACTGGTCGACCAGGAACAAATCAAAACTCAGAGTTGACTACTGGATGTGCATCGCTATCGCACCATTGTAAAGCAAGGTCTTATAAGCAAATACTGAAACCTGTATTGGCTGCACATACAGGGAAACACGGAATACTCAATTTCAAGTTATATATTGCAAATACAAGTTTTTATTGTTATAATTCATGTAAGCAAAATGAACTATAAAACCATTACTGTCCATAAGCAGTATCTAATATGGTGTTTTTTTAATTCTGATTTAGCCGGCCCTGGAGTATGGCAATGACAGCTCAACTGTATTTTAAGAAACCTCATGCACTCACTGAGGGAAGATTGCCATTTCCAACTGTAACAAGAGTGTATGCTCTTCAGCTCCTCCCAACAGAGCAGGCTGACCTAGATGCAGTAGCTCGGGTTTGATAATTGAACGTAGGATGAGACACCAGAGAATCACAGCTGACTGTGTTGACTTGGTTGGATGAAATGTTGCTGGCGGGGAGCTATTTTAGGAAACCCCTGGGAAACCCCATTAAAAACACTGAAAGGTATCAAGTGTCAATATACTGAGCCACTATATCAGCATAGCCTTGAAATGGAGATAATGCATTTATACAGGATGGACGTTAATCAAAGTGAATCAACCTAAAACTCAAAGGGACAAGTGGTATTGTGGTCTTAAAATATATTTCATACAACATCCATCTACTGAACTCTTATCCTGGTCGTTGTGATGGGAGTATCTGGAGAGTATCCCAGGCAGCATCGGGTACTTGGCTGGGGTACACCCCGAACAGGATTCCATCACATATCACATACACATTGATATGGGTAAGTTAGCAGCACCAATCCCTCAGCCCTGGTGGCGTAAGATGAGAGTGCTGGTCACAAAGCCACCATTTCAAACTATATCCCAAGTTAATTCTATGTAGCTGACAAAACACTATGGATAATGTGTATGTGGATGCTTTACCCACAATGCATGGAAAAATGGTTTTCTACATCCTGTGAGTCCTGTAGTATTACGTACAATGAAGATCAGTTACAAGCAGCACCGTAATTATTTTTTAAAGCGTCTGTGGCACAGGGATCGTGGACTGTGCTGCTGCTGTTTCTCAGGGGACGCAGCCGTAGCAGTAGGGCTAGATTGTGTGGTGGACATCAATCAGTGTCCCTTCCATCTCACAGTGGCAGCATACAGTATGGACCAGTGCTTGTTGTCATGGAGACCAGAGGAACTCATGATTCAACAAGAGGGAAGGCAAACATTGACAAAGGCAGGGCTCTCTGGCCTCCTGTGAGGACACAATGGGCATCTTTGCGGGCAGGGGTGACAGTCTAGGCTGGGTGACCTGAATGACTGGTAAAGACTGAACAAATACACTTTGCAGAATGGACTTCTGTGAGTCAGGCAGCCTGGGCACAGAAACAGCAACGGCGAGGAAGACTTCTAGATCTTCTAGAACAATCTAAACAAAGCTTGGCCGTGGAAGGGACTATTTACAGCACACAAAAAAGACAGCGTTTTATTTGGAAGAAAGGACACAGTTGTACAAACAGATATTTTTCTCTGTATGCTGGGACTGTACAAGCATGATGCAAAAGATAGAAACACAATATTTATTAACCATGTGATAGGGCCAGCACTAATAACAACATGACAAAATACAGCCAAGATGGATTCAGTTATTGTATCAGCGTTACTGACAGATCAGAGTCTAAATACCTTCCAGTTATTGTCTGCTGCCATGTGGAACCAAGAAAAACCAACAGGCCTACAGTTTTTTGCTCTCATTACGTTTTGACTTGGACTTTTACTCAGTTTGCAGACTGTTGACAGACGGCAGCATAACAACAGGTGAAACACAGCAGATGTGGAAGAGAGAGACGGCACACAAACAGTAGGGTTTCCAGCTGAGGACATTAAATTTGTTCATTTGATACCATATTTGGGAACCAGAGCTTTTACATCCTCCCGCCAATGTCTGAACAAAACCCAGAGAAGGTGCACCAAGGACAAACACCGTCCAAGACGAATGGCAGAGCGATAACGTTAAACCTTAATTAGACCCATCTGCACTAGGAGAAGGATGTCATCGTTTCTGTGGGCCGTCAATGAGGTCACCCCGCTTCATAGTCCAGGGTTGGAGTTATAGTGTTCCAGCTAAAAAAAAAAGGGTTCTCAGAATACCCCTTGAAGTCATGACAGCTTGATAACATTCCTCTAGGACAATGGTAACGCAAAGAGATGATTTGTTAGTCTGATCAAAACCATCCTCAGTGAAGTTACGTATATGCATCTTCATCTCTGTCCACCATGTTTGGATAGATTACAGTGCTGGAAACAATTACAGGAATGACACTGTTCTTGCTATCAGAACTATAATATGCTTGGCTAATATATTTATGCTATGTAAACTATATGCTAGAATGAAATCATTTGTAACTCATAACTGGGCTTCATGACAACTGACTCTCAGATACAAGGCACAAGGTGTGTAAGATGACCTTTTCAAACAATTAGGAAGCATTTTAAGTAGCCACTTCAGCCTGGCAGGGAGCATTTCAATTGGACCACCTTAGCCAATCAGAAACCATTTCAGGAAGGCCAATCCAACATCCTGCATAATTTACACATCTCAGTTGTTATGATCTGTGATAAGGCAGAGGGAGCATTCACAGAATGTGGTTCTTATCGTTGCAGAAATGAATTTTAGTGTCAAGTCTAAATCAGTTTGATAAAACTTTAATGTGTAACTCAAGGAGAACACAACAATGTCCAGGAGAAAAATGCCGTGAGTAGAAGCACACAGCCCTGCTGGATCCCTGTAAAATGACCCTGCCAAGGCTGGAGATGCCATTTATAGGCGTCTGCACCTAGACCTGTGTTCTTTCCAGAACAAAAAGCAAGCAGCCTGCAATTACATCAGTGCACACAATAGAAGCCCCTTTTTCACCTATCAAGTTTGGCCACATTGAGGCCCGATCCTCACTAATAGAGCCCAGTCTCTTGCCAGAGCAGTCCCACTAGGCATAGCTCTGAGTCAGGGTCACACTCAGCTCAAAGGGGACACAGGATCGACAGTCTAATCTCCTCCTCCGGATAATGCTGGCCTACAAAGTGGCTTGTGCTGCCACAACAAGGGGGGGTTTTCTGGCCACCTAGCATCCGGGACTGGACTGGACCCTCTTAACATGTACAGGGCCAGCCCAAGGTCTATAGGGGTGATACATAAGATCATGAGGAGCAGCTGGCCCCCAATCCCAGCTTGGGCCCTTCTCCCTTCGCAAAGCAACCAGCCCTGGACATCAGATATTGTTGATGGTCTTGGGGAAAAGAATGAAGGCGAGTCTCCTCAACACAACAACGGATTAAATTAAGGTCAACACTGTGGTAAACAAGCGTGTTTCATAGCAATTCATCCAACCATTCCAAACAGATGAATCTATTTCCATGGCTGCTATGACCAGGCTATGTGTATAATTATCCCTGTGGTAACCCCTTCGGCAAGTTCCAGGAGAGAGCCACATAAGTTTCTGATCTCTGCTTGGCATGAATTCCCACATATCTTATTTCTGCATCCGAGTGCTGCTCATCTACATGGTACGACTTGCCATCTGCTGCCCCAACTATTTCACTTCATCTCTGTCAAAGGTGAGCTCTTCAAGTGAGTCTGGGAGAGTCGTAGTTGCCTTCACATTGCCATTATAACCCTATCAGTTGCACACCTTCAACCCTTTCACGGGCAAAATTAAGAGAGTCCATTGAGGCCTGGAAGCCTGATCACAGTCATGAATCTTGGAAATCAGACCCGACAACATGGGGTACATAGTTGGAGGAATGTAGCTTGTGTATCCCAGAGCTGCTTTCCCAATGAACTGAAGCATTTCTATGGCTGCCAGGGAAACAAGGGCATGTTTGTGTGTTACAGCGACGCATCCGCGGTCCAGGATTTGCAGACCTCTCGGTAGGACGCCGTCCGAGCTCCTTAGTGTCTCTCTAATTTAAAGCTGCAGCCTCCATTACAGCTGAGCCTCATTGCCTAGCCCATAAATGCAGAACAGTGATCATTAACCCAGTGGCCACAATCAGAGCACCCATCCCTGGGCGGTCGGGGGCCATTGAGCATGGGGGTGCTTGGACAGCACAGCCATAGAGTCCGGAACGAGCTGCACCGTGGGAAACAAGCTTACCCCAATACGTGTGTATACATGGATTCAAATGATACATATGACCTCTGAAGCATGCCTGCGGAGAGAATTAATAAAAATAATTGCTTAAATGCAGAAATGTCACTTGGTAGTTTCGAAGGGAAAGAACAGGAGGAACCTTCTGTGTTGCAGAAGAAGAACCAGGCCAACATGGCTCTGGCCTGCTAATACAGATGCACCAGGGATAGTGTAAGATGACCTGCCTTCTGGTAGCTTCTATTCTCTGCGTGTGCATATCAGAATATACCAACTGGTTTGGCACATCACACACAGCATTTATAAGTAAGCAATGCAGATGTAAGCATTGTAAATATTTATAGTTTTTTTTTCCTTTCAAGCTCTTGTGAGAGCAGATGTTTCACACTTTAAAATCCTGGCTGGTATATTGCATGAATCTCACTGGACAGAAACATATCATATTTATTCTATTTACTGTCCAGAAATAGTACCCAAAGTCCCCACAGCACACCATAACCTTGGTCTTAAATATTAAAAGTACACGTAGACATATCTCTAAAAGTAAAATCGGACATTTAGCAGTTTGAGGGGATATGAATCAAAGTGGTTCGGTCCCCCTATAATTTCCTACGGTGCGATCCACTGAAAAGCTGAGAAAACACACAGAAGCCAGTCGGGTCTCGCTTGAGAGCAGGCTGCACTTACGAGCCCAAGCAGATGTCCAGACGAAGTGGCTGCCTCCTAATTGCAGCCTGTTCTTGGTCATCCGCAAAAGAACCCGGCCCTGCTGGCGACCACAGAGCTGCAATGGTCTGGGAGAAGCTTCTCCTCACAGGACAAAGGGCTTCGCACTCTGGGAGAGAGAGCAATTCCTAGGGGTGAGGAAACATGAAGACATGAGGGGAGATCTTGTGGATTCTACTCCCCATCCAAACTTCCAACAGGTCAAGTGTCTCCACAACCTAGAGCTGCTCCTCCGTGATCAGTGGAGCCTAAAAATAGGCCGTATTTATCATGCTTTGGAGAGGCTCGAGCATCTAGTGGTAACTGAGCCCCTCTGTTGCCTTTCTAGTCATCCCTGACACAGCTCTGGTATAGACATGGAGAGGGTAGCGGTGATTATTGGCTGTGTGATTTACTGGATGTCAGCAGGAGGGCCACAGGCCTACAGTACTTATCCTCAATTGAGTAGAGACGCGAAACCATGGAACAGCTCCAGTACTATGTGGTGTTTCTTCACTTTTCGCACCAGACTGAAAATATGGCGCTGCAGCCTAAAAGAAGAAACGGCCTCATTTGACTTTGGTGGAGACAATGTTAACCCACTTGGTCACGCAGAATCAGTCCTTGAGTAGTAATGAAAGTCAAAAGAGTACCTACCTCTTGAATTACAAGCTAAATAAGCTTTTTTCTTGATTTGTTTATTCATTGTGTGAGTCCGCAAGGAGTACGAAATGGAACACAAAAAAGCAGAGTGAGCTCAGATGATCCAGACATCCGTGTTTAATAGAATAAGTACCTTCTGTTTAAATCAGCAAATCGAAGCATAAGCACTGCGGTACCAAACTTTAACAGATGTCGCCTGAGAATGTGATTATGTGATAGAAATATTCTAGACATAACTATAATTGTATTTATATTCCATGTATTTCCTGTGGTAAAGCTCTGCAATTTGTTTTTTTCCAGTGATGTTGTAATACCTTCAGTGAGGTATTGTTGACCCTAAGCCATCTTTGTCTGGGCACATTTTTCCAGCTCCAACACCACGCGGCATTTTTTCTCTCCCTTTGGGTCTTCCGCCGGTCCAGTCACCCGGCAGGAGTGAGGACACCCGCCGGTCCCTTCCTCGTTAAAACTGCAGTGAGGAAGTTCTTAATTACTCCGTTACACAATGTCCTAGCAGTGTGGCACAGAGAGCACAGCAGTCGATGTAACAGAGGACTGCTTCTCGTGGTTGTGGGTAACTGATGCAGGTTAATCAGACACACTAATCCAAACATACTTATTCACGTTGAACTTTAATCCCCATTTAAAGTATTCATACTTGTACTGGTCTCAATAGACCCAATATCCTAACCTTTCAGTTTAATTTTCTCTTTAAGTAGCATTATTTTAACTGTAGCCAAATTCTTCTGCTCCCACTGAGACCAAATTCTAGGGAGCTGGAATCATACCAGGTCCTGTCGGTCTCAGCGCTCTAGGATGCGCCACATCCAGACACACTGCTGTCCCTTGCAGCTGGATGATGTCATCGCTCAGCTGTGCACTGTGACTGCATCTACGGACGTCCCATGACACTTGGTGCTAAGCCCCGCCTGGCACCAATGCATGCTCCGAGCAGTGCCTTGATCCAAGCACAGGCTGACCAAACCCGGATCGTTGCTGGTTTTAACTCTGAGCAAGTCTGGTTTAAGATTTACTTTTTGCGAACCTCTGTTGTGATGAATTCAATTCCATCCCAAATTCAAACTCCATGCACACTAGCTAACTGTCGTGGCATAGTAGAGAGATATGTATCTGACATAGTGCTGTGCGGCTGTACTTTAGACTGAAGCATACAGTCAATGTCAGCTGCCTGAAACCAACTGGATGCTCTAAAGCCCCAGCTGGCAGTATGGGGGGGGGAGCTTCCATCAAACCACACCCACTCTGCCCAGCTAATCTCACACACTAAGACGATAAGGTCATTTGACCCCTAACGCACTTCCCTTCATAGTGCCTACAAGGAACCATGCGATCAACACTGAGCAACGTATGGCAAGCACGACATGACCACAACACAAGCCACGTGTGTAACGGCAATGTTTACCATTTTACTGACTAAGACTAAGACGATCCACCTCTATATCGCCAGGACACCTTCTTTGTTTTCCCCCTCGGAGACACTGACCTCTCTGCCTCAATTGTTCAACAACAGGTGGCACGTGATCTCCACTTCGAACAAAAGGGGGATTTATGACAAAGAGACAAAGGCCCGAAAACAAGCCGCACATCTGCCTGGGAGGGACCCGACCTTTGGAAGGGTGACGGCTAACGGCTAATATTGTGCTACTTGAAACGTATGCTAACACTTGAACTCAAACAGGCATTTTCTTCTGAAGAAAAAAACCCATGCTAATTGTAAATAAGTTAAAACATCAGAGAAAATAACTTCTTATTGCCAAGGATCATGTCTTTTATAATTCTCACAAATTTATAAGTAATTATAAGGCCAAGACAAAAGCATGACTAGAACTGACATATGTTCTCACTCAACTACTTTTTTTAATCAAAAGCTTTATGAAGTGGTTTTCACCATGTATGCTCAGTTGCACAATTTGTCCTTTTTAACATTTTTTTAAATTCAAACAACTGTATATTTTTGTAATCACAGAATGTTGCTGGTTCGAGCCTGGCCTCACCACCCCATCCCTATGGGTCCTTGAGCAAGGCCCTTAACCCCCAGCTCCTTGGGTGCTGCTATGGGTGGCTGCCCTTCACAGTCAGCTTGCTCTCACCTAGAGAGAGCAAGTGGGGGGAGGCATAAACGAAAATTTCCCCACATGGAGCAATAAAGTGTCAAAAACTTTGTCATGTATGCCTTTTGTTAAGGGACGTCTCAGATCCAAAACCTAGGAATATGCTCACCTGCAAAGGCTGTACAGGATGATGTAAAGGTGCATCTTTATTCATAAACTGATGATTATAACAATAATAACAAGGCTTGAACTGGGAACCTTCCTATCACAGGCACAGAGGCTTAGCTCACAGCCACACACCACAATGGCTGGAAGTTTTGAGTTTGATAATGAGAAAAAAACAGACCAGTGTGATGATGTCATATAATGAAGACTGTGATTGGTTAAAGAAATTAAATGCAAGCCCCTCCCTTGTTGACCCAGGGAAACATTGAACTTGGCAAAATCAGGATGTCCGTGGAGTGTAGACATCTTGACCTGTCCTAGCGCACAAGAGCACAACCTTTGAACCAGAACTTCCAAACGAACAGCTGTACCACAGTGCTACATGTGGTCTTCTCTCTTCCCTGTACACTCCATCCCTGGTTTCTGTCTGACGTTGTCCTCTGCAGAGCAGACTATCACTTAATCTGAGAGATCTAACACTGAGATCCCGCATATCACAGAAAATCACTTCAAGCTCACAGCCTTTGTAACTTTGGTAGCATTTTTCAACACCTTGGCATCGTCTTTCACAAGAGCCTCAGGAAGACACCAAAAGTACCCCTGTCCTGCAGATTTGTGTAATACAGTATTGGGTGGATCTGCCTTACAGTTAAAGCTGCCAACCCAGTAGATGATCCAGGATATGGTCATTCACTATTTAAGACTATTAAAATCTCCCCCCCCAACAGGCTTCCAGCTTGGCAACCAAACCTCTGTAATTCTTCCAGAGAACCACTGTGTTCAACCTCCACCAAAACACTGACATCCTTCTCTTCTCCTGATCTCCCACTGCTGGATGCCATTTGGACCCAGTCATGACGCTTGGTACTGGCAAAGACAACCATCAAAGGAAACATCACCATATGTGCAGGATCGGAAAAAGTTTGAAAGCAAAATAATCTCTTTTGACTTTGGCTGTGCCTTCCCTGATAAAAGGAGAATGAGGCAGAGGATGCAATTGCCCAGAATGCAGCGCTTACGCATGAAGTTTAACACATACTTGTTGTAGCCAGTCTATAGCCATACAGTATGAATGCACTGACAAGAATAACAATATTCTCATACAGTTTATGACTCTGGAGTTGGACAGTGTGTAGGCACTAATCCAGGGCTTCCCAACCACTAGTCATGTGGTCTTCAAATGTCTGGAACCCCTACTCTAAGCCACAGATACTGAGATAGGGGAACTATGTCATTTTTAAGATATTCCCATAAGCTGTTGTGATGACATAACACCAGTGAGACTTGAATGCATCTAGTTTCATGTTTAATTAAATTCTTCTCCAGAGTTCTTTACATTTATCAGGAAAAATTACTAATATTATAATTACAGTATAATGGGAATCAACCTGTGGATCGAATCTAGTATGTGGCCGAAACATGACCAAAGCAATCAGCTGTCTGCCTACCCATGACAGCCCAGGTCTCCTTGACATAGAACTGACCCTCAGACATCCAATCAGCATCGCTGTTTACTCTTGTGAAGGAGTTTTCCTTGCCTCTGTCGCCTATGGCTTACTCACTGGGGGCTTTGGGTGGGGATGCTGTAAAGCGCTTTGGGACAATGTAATGTTGTGATAATGCGCTATACAAAAATAAATTTGTTGTTGTTGTTGTTGTTGTTGTTGTTAACTGCTCAGTGTTCAGGGTTCTGGTGCCAGCCATGTATTTTTATTGATCTGAAATGCCTTTGACTGCAAGGCGGCTCAGTTTTAAGTCAGCTGTCTCCACTACAGATTTGTCATCAAAAAATAAAAAACAAGAATAAAATAGCATGCGTGCCAAAAAAGGGCAAGACAAAGGTGCAGAACAGTCCCCAAGAATCCACATGAGCCACCTCAGATCTTTCTTGTAAGAGCATGCATAACTCAAACACTAAACCAGTTCAGTAGAAGTGCGACCAATCAAATGAAGATAGATGTGTGTGACTCACTCGGGGAAAGCACATACAGTCAGCAATTGTTTTAAGAAGGATGTCAACCAGAAAGATCAACATCCTTGCTGGACAGAGAGATCACAATTAGCACATTTTGGGAAGGACCACTGGGCAGCCACAGATTGGGAGTTCCCTGGCAGTGTTGTTATCATGGCACCTACTCCACATGGACGTTCCAGCTGACCCTGAACTTTACTTGACATTGACCAGTGTCACTCACAACTTGAGACAAGTCCAATGTAACCATAGTTTGCTCCTCTCGGAAAACAGATAAACCCATTCTAAACCCAGCAAGCACCTTTGACCCGCTCAAATACTGAGCAAAATAAACAATAAACTTGTTGAAACCACAACAGCACCTGCCTGACTGCATTGCTGGAATCATTTTTATCCTCTTCGAACCCTGAGCTCAGGGAAGTGCCGCACACAGAACACCAAGAGATCAGCTGGGCCATGAAAACAGCGTCACCCCTAGAAGAATGACCATGTGACTTACTCATGCACTTGGTTGCTTCATCTGTGGTTTCTATTGTTTTTGGGAGTATAGCATCAGAGAGTACTCAGCCGCCTTGGGGGAGGGGCGGAGGGCCTGGGGATTGTTGTGTGGGGAGTAACATGACACTAACACTCTTTGGTAGTCTTTGGCTCCCTGCCTTCCAATGCCAAAAACAAATCTTGAAAACTCTTCCCACCCCCCCACCCCCCAATACACCCTCATGCCTCCAAAATTCAGAGGTTGGGTAGGTTCACATTGCCAGCGTGTCACATGATCTAACAGTGTCACATGATCTAACAGTGTCACAGGGGTCTTCAGTCTTTTCTTGACTTTCCTTCATAATTAGTCATTGTGAGAAGCGTTATGCCCATTTGTAAATTCCCCATGATCACAAAAGATAAGGTACCATTTGAGAAGCCTGATACCTTGTAAGATAAACTGAAATATGTGATGGAATATGTATTATTGTAGATCGTCACACAGAAAGGTCAGTGACAGCCTGGAGCCACATTAGAAGTGGCGTGCCGATAGCGTGACTGACAGCAGCAAATGTCATCGAAGCGGAGTGCCGGCAGACACCTATAATGCATGAGAGCCACATCCGTAAAATGTTATAATGCTGTAATTACCTTCAGTTTGACTTGACATCATTGTTTATAAAAATTTCCAGTGATGTGATATGGTTGTGTATTGAATTTAGCAAGTGAATTCGATTTAGGAAGTTCCTTCATGAGTTTATCAAAAAAAAAAAAATAAGTTGTTTAGCCCTGAAATTCTATGCTAGATTTTGGCAAAACAAATCGGGATGGCATGGTACCGGAACTGAAATTTTCTAGGTCATTCAATACGATACCCTCAAGCCACCTGTCTGAGCTGCTTGGAATAGAAAGGCCTTCATCTTGGACAAACGTGGAAAAATAGTCCCACTGTCAAGCAGGTATGCTAACAGAAGCAGACACGACTCCAGCATCTAGCATAACCCCGGGAAGCCCTCCTCGTGTCTGACAGCTGCCAGGAGTGTGGATTAGCGTGGAGTGACAGAGAATGAGGGTGATCAGAAAGGCTGATGCCCCCTGAGGCGCCACCTGAGTGACATTCTGGCAGCAGACAAGCATGCGCTCGGGGGAACAGGAGCCCCCTCTGTGGACGCCTTAATGCTGGATCCTGGCCCCCCAAGCCTAAGCTCACTAGGCCTGCTGCCCAAGGCCTCGCAAGTCACTGCAGATTCTATGCGTTACGCTAAAAGCTGAGACTTTCAGGTGCCATTTCACTGGATTTGCTATCGTAAGTTTCTCCAAAATCAGTGTAACGTCACCTGAAACTCTTGAGTCACAAGACGATCATCCGCTATACTCATCATATACAAATGACTCACTGATCATAGAATGGAATGAATGAGCCTAGTTTTGGCTATATGTTACAGCTTATGTTGTCTGAAGATCATCTATGATCTATGAGAATATGTCGCACGGCTGAAATACCATGTGTTTGTAAACATACAACTATATTTAACCTCGCTGTACAGCTGATGTAGTCCTATGGGCCACTTCATAATCATTCACAGAAAATATGTTGAAAAATGACCCCGGATTTATTGCATTCAGTGGTTTCCTGTTATGCAATCTGGACAAAAGGACTACAGTTATTGGATGATTTATGGGCCTCAGCGGGAGTCTACTCACAAACGCCTGGCATAATTAAAGACTTTAAGGAAAGAAGTAGAAGGAAATAATGGCACAAGACAAGGATAAAACTTTGATCACCTGCTGACACTGGAAGTACTAAAGCGCTGAAAAAGCTTATATCTTATACATTAAGACTGGATCAGCTATCACAGCTACCAAAAGTCAACAAAACAAGCAGTGTCTACTACCAATGTAAAATCTACCTTACCACCCAAGCATTCCTCTCAATCCATCATCTTTGATGTATACAGAAGATACTGCCATGATTACCTAGAATTATGAGTGCGAGAGTCAACCATCATGCATCTCTGGGTCATCATTAGTCTGTTGGCTGACAAAGCACTGGCGTTCAAGTTTTTGCATCCCAGCAACTCACAGGGGAGGGGCTTGGAATATCGGCCAACCAACAGAGAGAACTCTTCGTTCTTTTTTTCCTGCCAGACTATGAAATAGTGTCTCTTGCATATATCCAACGCATCAGAAAAGCAAAATGTAGGGACGCTAGGAATAGGAACACCAGCAGTGAGCCAGCCCTAGATGCTGCTGCGACAGGATCTGTGTACTGGGTTTCAGAGTTAGCTCTCTGCTGGTGACCCCCCCGAAACACGCAGCAGGACCTGGCAGGGTGTAAACCAGTACGCCAAGCACTAACTGCCATGACAGACAACAACAGCAACAAATTTGCGCTAAGCTGAAAGAGCTGCCAGTATATTGGCTCTCCTTCATAGTCGCTCCCTCTTACGTGTTTTTCAATTAACGTTATTTAAGGTTCTGCTAATTTGTGGGCATAGCTTTTATTTTTTGTCCTACACAAGACTAAGTAGAGAATGTAATTTTTTTGTCTTGATTTAGCTTGTTAGCATTGCTAATTCTATGCCAACTTTCATAGCAATAAGGCTCCTTATGACTGCGAAGAATAGACCGTTTGTGCTCCCGGTCCTTGCCTTCCCCCGTCCTCATGACCACTATAAATATTTATCAGTGGCTTTTCTTCAGTACTGCGCTGCATTTGTCTGCCTCCCTCTGTCAGATCTGTACACCCAGGCTTTCACTACCCCCTCCATCCCTCCCCTCCACCCACCCACGACCTCGGGGCAGCATGGGGTCGCCTAGGGAGCCTGGCAGACCCCAGAAGCGATCTGCTGGATTCAAACGCGACTAAAGTCGCGGCGCTCGCCTCCCAGCTCGCATGGCTGGCCTCGGGACGTCAGGAGACAGGCGGCAGGAATGCCCCGTGGCGGATGCCTGCCCTATCTGAGGCTTCCATCTGCCAACAGTGTAAACAGCAGCTCCCAGCACATTCGACGTGCACGTCCGCATCGCCGGGCCCCGGGCGGCCCTCATGCAAGAGGCACGCAGGAAGGGAGAGACATGGCAACAAAAGGACGACAGGCGCAGAGGAATGCCCCACATGCTCTGAGTACCCGCCTGATGACGCCCCACTCTCTCTCTCTCTGTTATTAGTCCTTTCTCGGCCCAGGTTGATAACTCACATATTTTCGCTTACATTATGCGTATCCTGTAAATAGCAGATGTGTCCAGCAGGTCATACGTTGCACATACTGTGTCCAGCGAACATGCGTGTCCAGCAGCGGCTCAGAGACACTCGGATGCCATGTTCTGGATACGAGAACAGCTAGGATGTGGCTGTCCGACCAGTTACTGCCACCCAGCAAGCTAATGCAGAGCAGCTAAGCTGCAAGAAGTAGGGGACTGAGCCAGGCAGCACCGGCGGGGTTATCTGCAGCGTGCGTGTACACGCACACGCACACGCGCACAGACACACACACACTGCAGCGTGACAGGCAGACTGCAGCATGACAACCTGGGATTCTGGTGCAGAGCAGCATGTCCTGTAGTTCAGGCATGATACTGTTACATGGTATGCGCACACACACAGACACACACTCACAGACACACACTCACAGACACACACTCACAGACACACACATGGCCAGCAGCCTGTCAGAGTGTTACTCACAAGCTCGCACTTGGGTTTTCTCTCATGGCAAAGAGAACATTTTCATTTCCTCTCTTCCCGCAGGATTTCAGGAGATGCGCAGAGTTGCCAGATGTGAAATGCTCGCTCTCATAATCCCCCTTCTCTCGTGCCCAAACAAAGAGGGTGTCACAGAAACACCCGGAGATCTACAGCGTCTGAGCTCTGACAGTGCACTGGCACCCCTCTCTCTCCGCCTCTATCCCTCCCCCTCTCTCTCACTCAGTCCTCCAAGGTCAGGGGAAGGATCTCGCTGGTCTCCTCCCACAGACCCAGCTTGGCCCCTCCCCTCCACAGCAACGAGCCTCTGCAGTGAAGAGTGTCGAGCCACATTAACCCTTGGACTGCCAAAGTGCTGCACAGCCTTAGAAATACCCCCCTTCAGGGTCTGTGCGCAAGACTTACCACCAGGGGGAGCACATGCAGCTCCACACTTTGGATGTAACACCTATCATTTCGCACACCTACATTATGGTTAACGGAAGTCTGTCACTACGTTTTACCATCTGAAAAAACAAGTACAGATAGTTTTAAAATGTCCTGTGTGACCTGACAGCTGTTTCTCTGTGTCGTCGGCTCCACTGCAAGTGTAACACTCCGCTGACCAGAAATTTTAATCTCTATCTAGCTATAATCCAGACAGAGCTGATAGATTTATGAATCAACCCACAGCTCTCTCAAAGCCTCTGAACAGGAGGGCATAGGAAGAAAGAGAGAGAGACGGAGACAGAGAGAGATAGAAAGGGAGAGACAGAGAAAGACAAAGAGAGGGAGAGAGATGTGGACAGAGAGACAGACACAGACAAGGGGAGAGTGAGAGAGAGAGATCATCCTCCCATAATTACCTGTCTTGCTGCTACAGTATGGTGAAGCTTCTTCCTTTATTTTCAAGAATTTGCACCAAAACACACAACTCTGTGGTATAAACCTGGCATTTACAATTCCAGCAGATTCAGGATCGGTCCAGTTCTGCCCTGTTTGTATTAATTTCTGCAAAACACCCTGGAGGGACATGGTGTCCAAATGAAATTGGCCCTCTATCCAAGTCCAGAGGTTTGTACTCAGAGCCAATCAGAGGTTCTCCAACAGCCTGGAATAAATACCGCTCACTGTGTCCTACAAAAAGTACAACCTAACAGGGTTTTTTTCCCCCCACAGAGAACCATTATGAACAGGGGCGTATACAGGGGGGTGGAGGCACTGGCCACAGCTGAAAGCTGATTGGCTCCTGGAGCGCCCCCTCCCTTGTCAGTCACCAATTAAAAATATATCATTGGCTAATGATAAGGTTGGCCCCTCTGTATCAATTATGGCCCTTTCTATTCAATTCAATTTCAAATGTATTTGTATAGCGCATTTTCACATTACATTGTCTCAAAGCTCTTTACATTATCCCTGCCAAAAGCACCCAGTGAGTCAGAGATGACAGAGGCAAGAAGAGACTCCCTAAAAGGAAGAAACCTTGGGAGGAACCAGATTCAAAGGGGGAGCCCATCGTCCAGGGGGCAGCAGAGGAAGCCCTAACCCTAACCAGACCCAAAGGGGGAGCCCATCCTCCAGGGGGCAGCAGAGGAAGCCCTAACCCTAACCAGACCCAAAGGGGGAGCCCATCCTCCAGGGGGCAGCAGAGGAAGCCCTAACCCTAACTAGACTCAAAAGGGGAGCCCATCCTCCAGGGGGCAGCAGAGGAAGCTGTAACCCTAACCAGACTCAATGAGGGAGCCCATCCTCCAGGGCCGGCAAAGGAAGCCAAAATCAAATAAGCCCCCCACTTAAAAAAAAAAAATCCTTGAATCGCCTTTGATTATGAACTATAGAAGATACATCCTTGCTGTTGCTGTAGATGGTGCTGATGTAGGATCTCAGGCGGTTCGGAGAGTGCTGCAGCGTGGGCCAATCGGAGCAGGGCCTTCGCTTGCTGTCTGCCAGAGTGAGCCGGTCCCTAGCATGTCAGCAGAACAGCAGGTCAGGTTCTTCTTCTCTTACAGCCATCAGACCTGCCTCTTGCCACCTACTGCCTATTCCATACATTCCATTCCTTTGTTATGTAAGAGCCCCCCCCCCAGTCCATGGGGCCCAAATGGCAGGTAAATTCCCTCACCCTCACCTAGCCCCCCAGGCAGGAAGATACGAATAGATAGCTAACCAGTTCTTACCCCACCTGGTTTATTGCTGTACAGTATGGAGTCCACCACTAGAGGGCGCCAGGGGCATCCGCAAATAAAGGATAGCTGATTCAACCATCTCCACAGCTTGGCCTCCCCTGGCACGGAGGCTCTGCCCACAGTCGTATCCCACCAGATACCCCCCACCCCACCACACATCAGCTTCCAGGTTCCCTGGGTTTTTGTACCTGCCAGTCACATCACAGCAATAAAAGAATGCACCCCCTGCTGTACTGTGGCTCTGTAAAGAATGTGTAATGTTCAGAGTGGAGCTGGTCAAAAGGAGACCTGAAAACTGGCTGCAGACTGGCCCCCCAGGAGCGGAATTTGGTACCCCTGCCCTGATCTTCTTTCCAGTCACCACCAATAGGACCCAAACACTGTGAAATCTGCACCAGCCTGACGTATGCATCTTAACACAACAAACCCTCTTCAAGGTGCCCGATCAAACAGAAAACAGGGTGCGGTCTTATAGGGTGCTGATGTTAGATGTCCGTGTGCCTCGTGTTCCTGATAGGCTGTGCACTACCAACTCCATCTGAAGGAAGCTACCAGAAATCAGGGTCTGCTCACACAATCACTGAAATTTGCAACAGACTTTATTAACAGTTATACTGCACTCTGTAGTATTACATGTACAAAAACAAATATTACTGAACTTTACAGGTCTGTGTCTCCACTGCTTAGTGCCCAGAGACATTCTCACAAGCATCAGAATAAATGATCATCAGAACTATACAAGTTTTTAAAGTACCCATTAGAAAATATTACAAATTTTTCATCCAACTGAGGGGGTGTAAAATTCTGTAAAATACACACCTCACATGGAGGTAAACTTTGTTCTTAATGTAAATTTCATTGTATGATGTAAGCGTCTAAAAAAAACAAACACTGTTATTAGTGGAGCGCAGAACATTCCTGTAAGTCCTACGTTCAAGAATTCGGTAAAAGGAACTATTGTTGTGTCAAAATACTCCCCAGACACATTCTCCAGCATGTTTCTGTTACCGTCATCCTCTTGTCATGTTACACTGAACACGAGACTGCAGAGGCTAGCAGAACCGATTTTGCATGATGGCACAATAAGTGATCGCCTGAACAAGCTTCGAGTGGTTCGTGACGTCACAGTGCCTGTAGATAAATAAAGACTTACGCACCAGTTGGTGACTCGTCCCCGAAAGTCCCCCATTCACTGCTGCCCTCAGGCGAGTCTGAGGCTCTCTAACGTGACACACCTCCTCCACTGCTTCGTAATCTGCATGGCACACGAGGCCGTAACTACAGAACGGGACGAGGCGTCGCCCCCCCTTGGCCATCTAGCGGAAGGATATTTTTACTGCAGCTTGAGTGTAGAACGGCCTGTTTTTCCAGTGTTAAAACAACCATCCTATTATAACCATGACATTTTTTTCTGAATGAATCTAGTTTCAAGCCATATAAAGTAATCATGTGGTAAACAAAAATATAAAATGAACAATATTAAACATTTTATAGCTCTATTAAATAAATGTTGCAATTATGTAACTCTGTGTTCCAAAAATGCATAAAAAACCCGAATTTCCTTTCCTCCCACCCGCCATTTGATACAACCATTAGAGAAATGTAAAAGTGTCATTTATGATAAGTTGATATTTGGGGTATGCTCGATTCAAGCGAAACGAAAACACATGTGAATTATACAAATTTACTGCCTTATTTGGGCTGGCAGGCGATCAATCAACACTGTTGTATGTATTCACTAAATCCTGAAGTAATTTCAATAAATGTTTTCAATAATGTAAAATATGACCACATTAGTATCACTTAATGTTCTTTTATTACCATGCAACTTTTACTTATGAAAAGCTAATAAGTGCTAGTTTTTAATTTTACCTACTTTAACCTCAAAAATTACTTATTGTAATTGCATTGTTTTTGTTGTCTGCAATAGCTTACTAAATATCTCATATATATCCATATCTAAAATACGTGAGAAACTTTGCTTGCATTGAGCATACCCTCAATATTCATTCAAAAGTCATTTTGATGTATTTTCCCCCACATTGTTGATTCTGGTGGTAGATCAAAACAATCAGGTGGGAGGTGACATTTTGGAAGTCAAACATTTTGGACCACCCTACTCTAGTAGATTATGGTTTTCCATCCATCCATCCATCCATCCATCCATCCATCCTCCAAAACTCTCATTCTGTATGAGGTACAGGTATTATGTTTTTCAAGTTTCAATAAAGTTAATCTTAAATTTGTACATTTTCTGGCAAAACCTTCATTTGATTAGAGAACAGACTTCTGTAATAAAACAAAAAAAGTATTTAATCACAGGCCAAGGGCATGTGCTTTATTACCAAGCCACAATGTCTCCACCCGTGATGAGTACAAATCATGTTGAATTTTGCTAAAAAAAAAGAAGAGAAAAATAGCAAACCATTAATACAAACATTATTTTACTCAAACATATATTGAAACATAGGTCGATTCAGTGATGTATGAGCTTTCCACGCTCCCGATTTATTTGCCAACCCCTGAGGCATTATGGGTAATGAAACGTTAATGCAGGAATTATGGTCCTACCAGTAAGGCTCGTCCGCGGGTCTCGATGGGCAGCAGGGCAGTTCCCAGTGCACACAGGAAGCAGGCCACAGCGAAGGGCGTCAATGCCAGCACGACAGACTTCGACATCAGCACCTAACCGTCAGTAAAAGCCATCCTTTACTCTGCCCATCTCCTATGGCAACCTTCCGCTTACAAGTGGTTATGACTCTGTGCCCATGATTAAAAGGCCGCCGGTTCATATCCCGCGGTTGGCAGAGTGGTTTCACAGTCACGGACTGATTGTGGGACAGAGTTCCAGAGTTTGGGGGCCACGGCACTGAAGGACCTTCACCCTTGGTAGAAAGTCTAGTGCGTGGAATGGCTAGGAGGTCACTGAGGTAGCAAGGGGCAAGGTTATATAGAGCATTATAAGGGAGAAGCCATATTTTGAATTTGATGCGAGACTGAACCGGTAAGCAGTGTAGCTGAGAGAGGATGGCTGTGATGTGAGCGAGACCTCAAGCTGCAGGCTTCTGAATATACTGAAGCTTTGGGATCGATTCTGCAGGGAAGGCCAATGAAACGGGAGCTACATTAATCAATACAGGACGTAATAAAAGCATGAATCAGAGTTTGGGCGTCAGTACGGGACAGAAATGGGCGAAGACGAGAGATGTTTCGGAGGTGAACGTTTTGGAGAGGCTATAAAAGCATCTGTTAAAAAGGTAATGCAGGGTTCCTCAGCCCAGCCCTTGGGGACCCCAGGCGGTCCTCATGAACCAAACAAGCGAGAAATCAAGAAGGTAGAGGTGTGATGGGAGGGAACTGGGGACATAACTGAGGTGATGTAATGTAACCTGCATGATCAAAAAAGCTCAAATACAAGCTGCCCCCTTACAACCAGCCGCTAATCGTGAAGGCAGCAGACTCTGTCCTGAGTCTAAGACCCATTACCGTATTCATCGGTTTCAGCATAACTATTGCTGTGTATGATGGGTGCTGTGGAGTGAGACCGCTGCACCCACCTGGGCAATGAATGGTGCGATCATGCCTCCGATCCGGCTGAAGGAGGTGCAGAAGCCCATCCCTATGGAGCGTACCACTGTGGGATATACCTGGGGGGGGGGGGGGGGAGAGGGGAGAGTGTGCTTAACGGAGGGTGTGAAGCAAATCCTAACAGCATAACCCTCAGTCCACGAGAAGATGACGTGCAACCAAAAACCAAGTGAGCCGGCTCACCTCAGCGGTATATATGTAAACAACATTGAAGTTCATGGTGACCAGGGACCTCAGCAGGAAGAGCAGCATTGTGAACCCAAGCCTGCAAGGTGACAGAAAACGGTGTCAAACTACGTTCACATCAGAAATGTTCTGCGGGAGCAAATGGATGAATTGTGGGAGAACACCAGAAACCTTCAGGATAGACGTCCATGTAACTTTTCAAAGGTAATAAATGAGAACGGACCCCACAACCATTTAAGGGTGTAATGTTTCGGGTTGCCGATTACTGGGACAAGCAGAACCTACATCGTGGTGCAGATGTTGACCAGCATGAAGAAGACCACAGAAGCCAGCTGTATGATGACCATGCTATATTTCCGACCGACCACGTTCAGCAAGCCAATGTTCAGGGGTATAACTATAGGGAACAAAACATGCAGACATGACAACATGCCATGTAGAACTTCAGCCTACACTGTGGAAGCATGTACTTCAATGTATAGATCTCAGATGATACCATGTAATGACAATGACATATGACAATATGAAGAGTGTAATGCATAGATTGACCGTTCATGCTGTACTGGGGTTTTCATCGTGACCCATGACACAGTGAGTGAACCGTGAATTCATTAACCTCCTTGGCGTTAACCATGAGCATGACTCAATCAATGGGCATCAAGCCCAAGTGACGCTGAGGGCAGGATTGTGCTGCCATCTAGTGGCATTTTAAAAAGCGCATAAACAGAACTGACCAGTTGGCAACGTGGGGCTTTGCGTTGGAGAGAGTATTAACATATTTCTGTTACATGTAATTCAATTTTGGAACTTTTTTTTTTTGGATGTTTTTCCAAAAACGCTGAGGAGGCTCATTCACGTCATTCTTTCAAAAGAAATGAATGAAGCAGTTAGTATACTTCGGTCACACCTGTATCAAAACGCAGAGGGCGGATCGCCTTTGTGACGCTACAGTGACTAATGCCTCCAGGGTAATTAAGCGATAGCTGGCATTATAACCAGCTGCATGATTATGCGACGTCACTGTGGGAGGCTGGCTGGACGTCACTCACGCGCCACCTCTCCCAGGGAGCTGATCAGCAGAGTCTGGTAGTCCTCCATCGCAAACGGGATGCAGTAACACAGCGACTCATCCTCCACATGCTTGATGCTGTGCTTCTCGTCTGCGTCGGTGGTGCACAGCAGGTTCTTCTCCAGTAGCTCCGAACTGCTCAGGACGGAGCCATAGTAGGAGAAGGAGGCCACGAACCTGGAGACAGGAGCCAATAACATACAAGGCTGCACCGATATGGCACTTAAGCTGCCCGAGACACATCACACTTTCGCGCTTTGTGGTCTTCTGACAACCAAACCACACTTCAAGCCAACTGTCATTTTCAGTCAGAGTCCAGCCACATTACCCAGACTTTGAGGGTCTCATTCCGCCATATGCTAATAGGCTGTAAACGCTGCCACCTTCGTGCCAACCCCATCTTTAATCTTACCAGGAAAACCACAGGATCAGGGACGTCCTCCTGAATGCACGACTCACAAGGATGTAGCAATTTCCTCTCTCAGACTGGAAACAAAGGAAATAAACTCAGCAGACAGCAGAGAGAAAGTTAGCCTAGTGATTGATTGTGCTTAATGGCCCTTCACTTTCGCCATTGATCTGCAGGGCAGTTCTGGTGGCAGACTCTCCATCAGGCTGACGTGTGAGTGAAGGTACCTCGACTGGTTCCATCAAGTCCCCTTCTGGCAGCGAAGCTTTGTTCATCCGAGCGATGCGCTGCAGCGTAGCCATGGCGCCCTGAATGTTCCCCGCGGACACGTTGAAGCGGGCGGATTCGGGGATGAACTATGCAAGAGAAGCCTGTTAGGTCAGCCAGTGGTCATTCATCCATTTGGCACCGGGTCCACACACCTCATATGGTTCAACAACAGAGATGGACCCCACAAGTTAGCCTGGTCAGATGTACTGTCCATTCTTCTGCATCAAAGCCCCATATCTTTGTCAAACAGTTAATATGGTGGACATATCACCCAGTCATGAAATGGAGACTTTGTAATGAAGCAGAAAGCTGAATATATGATCTGAAATGTGGACATCTGTAGATTTAAATTTCTTTAACCTCTGAAAGGATATGGGGATCATTTTAGATTCTTACACAGTGGATTTATTTATTTTTCCTAACCAATTAAAATGAAGTTTCATTTCATCATTCGGCCAGACCGTGACAACATAAACAACAGTGAGGGGAACCGACCATGAAGAGCCCAATAAGGATGACGCTGGGAAGTATGGAGAACCGGATCATCCAGCGCCAGCCCATGCTGGGGACCACCGTCATGCCCAGGATGATGATGAGCATGGAACCCACCATCCAGAAGATCTGAGGGCAGAGATACTAACTTTACCATCCCCTGGGCAACCTCCGCTGGAAGCTGATGAGCCCTGCATTAGTGGTCAGATTTCAGGTGCTGAGTGAGGCCAAGGGCCATGTTTACCACCACTCTGGGGTACCACCAGGCTGCAGTGCGGGGCCCCAAGCTTTGGACGGCCCTCTGTTGGCCACAAACAGTCACTACACTAAATACAAAATGAATGTGTACCTCAGTTAGGAGATGCTGAAACAGCATGTTCTGCTAACTAGCTAGCTAGCCAAGATCTTCCGATTCTATTTCCTAGCCATTTATTCAGATCGGGAAATGTCAGTCTGCCAAGGGCCCCAAAGTGACTAATTGGGGCCCCAGAAAAACCAAACCCATTCCTGAGTGAGTTAAAAAGATTTGGAATGCAATATCCAAAAAGTTCTGCTGAAAATGTACATGTTTCAGAAATGTTAATACAGTGAACCTGCAAGCAGTTTTGAGCTGTGTGTTCCTTAAAACATGTCCACAGACATTTCAGGAACTCACCGTAGACAGTGGCAGTAAGTATGCCCTGTACTTAGCTGGGATGAACTCTGTTTTTAGGACAAACCTACAAAAAACAATAAATAAAAAAGTCAGACACTCAACTCTAAGTCAGGAGACACATGGAATGTCACAAGTGACCCAGCAAGCACAGCAAAACCAGGCAGCTAAACCAGTATCTTAATGTCTGACAGCAGGAGTCGGCTCTCCTGGACCGCCATCCGGTCCTCGTACCCTTGCGAGGTCCCCGCCACGCCACAGCCGACCATGCTGCGCAGGAAGACGAACCAGCCATAGGATGGCGCAAAAGAGGTCAGCAGAGAGAAGTAGGACGACCAGACAAAGCCACCAATCACAACCTGTAGTGAAATTACCAAAATGAGTTAAGTACAACCCGTAAGCAGGGGAGAATAACCCCCTAAAGACAGCACAGACTACAGGGCACCATCACAGAGGGAGATGGGGGGCTCTGCCTTTGGAGGACATCTCAGATGTTCAGCTCCAAACTTCTCCAACCTTCCAGCGGCCGTATCTGTCAGCCACGTATCCACTGAGGACTCCACACACCATGTAGCCAAGGAAGACCATCTGGAAGAGCGGGCAGGGAGAAGAACGAAGGGGCCAGATAAACACACCCGTTTATGTTTCACAGGTCGCCTGGCGGGAGGAGTGCAGAACGTGGAGGAGCTGGTTCCTCACCGTAGACACCAGGGCCACCTGCCAGTCCTGGAGGTGCCACTCACACCGGATCTCTGGAGACACCACAGCGAGAAGCATGATCTCCATGGCCTCCACAATCTGCGAGAACGTGCACATATCTCCAGGTTAGGTTACAACAGAAACCGCACATCGATTTATCATCATATAAAATTCCAACATTCACAAAATGAGAAACTTCACAAACTGTTAATAAGAAATACTGTTTGAAAGCACGCATCAGCCTCTCACATCACAGAAACAAAGAACTCCAACCAGTCATATAGCAAAATCTTTTAAGAACAGACAACGTATGACCAACAAAGGCACAGCAAGGTTGGGTAAGTTAGCAGAGCATGGCGGATGCTGCTAGTTTGGTAAAACATGCGAGGCTGGAAAAGATGAGTGCTTCCTCAGAGAGAACTTCAAGTGTTGGTGAAGAAAGGGACAGATCAGCAGCCACAACATCTTTTAACAAAGGAGATATTGTGGATAAACAAGGCAAAAAAAAGACGTCGGTGGTATGGCGGTAGGCTATTTTGGCAATTAAATGCCCGACGCACCACAGACCGGTGCCGTGTACTGGAAACCCTGCTGCAAACCTGTGCCAACTAAAACTGGAAATAGTGTGAACCACTGCCATACAGTAGATCTTAGAGAATGCAAGCGCTTACGGTCACTGACACTAGCAGTTAGCATTTCCACTGTGAACCTTAACAAATACAGAACACCATCACCCCCCCCCATAAAATATTTGACATTGCCGGTCCTGTATTTTATGACAGATGGTAACTCTAGCGGCAATGTCAAATATTTTGCCATATCACCCAACCCTGCTCCAGGTCAAACATATATGTAGGAGGTGAACATACATTTAGGGTGGAGTGAAAGTAGAACAACATCGTCATATTTTCCTATATAACATTATGCATGTCCATCCATTTTCTGTAATCACCAGCCTGGACACCTGTTCAAACTCCACACACATCACTGTATAGTTACTGAACCTCAGAATTAGTTCCCAGCAAACACTTCAACATTAACAATCACTCTTGTCCAGAACCTCCTTCAGAAGCACACATAAGGGTCTGAGTAAGTACGGTACACCCTTTAGGGAGAGCCAGACACCTTTTACAGTCATGGGCTCATCAGAAGCTCCCGTTTTGGGACTGTGCAAATCAGCAAGCTCAGGCAAAACCTACATTAACAAACCAGCCCGATTCAAATGTACCATCCAGTTCCTGCGTAAACACCACACCACCCACCCAGCAACCATCCGAAAGCGAAACAAAGGAGCAGCATGCACACCTGGTGACTGTTTTATTGTGATAATGGACTCCGGCTCTCACACACACGCACACACACGTTGGCGTACCTATCTAAATGGGAACCGTACATTAATTTCTATGGGAAAAACCCTAATCCCAATCATAACACCCTTAACCCTACCCAGCCCTAACCTTAACCATAAATTACTAAATAAGATACAAGTCTTTCAGCATTCCCAGATTATAAAATTGAATTTCCAAAAAAATGGTCCCCACAGCATCAACATAAAAGGTTTTTATATACCTGTTATTTTTTATACCCTTTTCTATACCTGTATTTATATGTTTTTTACATACCTGTTTGTATTCCTGGAACACGCGCGGAAGTGGACAGTGTAAGGCATTCACCTCACAATGTCACGTGTCATTAGCATCAAGCTCATTCTTTATTAATACAGTTAAAATACTAAAACAGCTTATATGTACGGTGAATTCAGCACTGCGGACTGCTTAGACAAAGACTAATCAGCCGTCCTAGCTGCAGGATGTGGTGTCATTATTAGATAATGATCAGCCAGTTCCAACACAAGAACAAGTTTGACAGCTGAGACATGGTCTGTTAGCATGGTCAAGTCAGAGGTCCCTGGGCTATTTTCAAGGAAGGTGCAGCTGACGAGTGGGGGCTGCAGGAAGAGGTACTGACCAAACCGGGACCAGAGAACACCACAAGATCCCGAACCCAAGATGACTGCCTCATCTAATTAAATAAACACGGGAAAATATAAGCTGCATATTCGATGATTTCCCACAGTGATACGTTAAGTGGGTTTTTAATGGAATCATGAAGGCGGCCGAACCAACTGCCCGCGATGGACGCACCGAACCCGCAGACTTACGTTGGCGCTGCCCATTATCACAAACAGCATGATGTGAAACGGACCGAAGCCGATGGTCTCTACCGCTTCCTCCACAGTGTAAGTCTTCCTCTCTGTAAAGTGTAAGCGGTAATGGTCACGATTCTTTGTCAGTTTACACCTCAAGGAAGAGTTCGAGCAGCGCCATTTAAAAAATGTCAATTAGGATCCTGATCGTAATTTAAAACGTAGACCAATAAGGAGAAGTCACAGAAGAACAATGCTGCATGGGCAAAACGAAATGAAACAATACCGTGCATCTGAACCGCACTGTATCGCAATCGCTCAGAAGGTAATTGGGGGGGGGGGGGGGGCACCTTTAACCTCCTCCGTTTTGCGATTGCGGCTCCCATCCTGCAGATCCACCTCTTGCAGCTGGATGGCGCTCACCAGCTGCTCCTTCATGGTGTAAACCGCTCCTGCTTCTCCGCCTCCCTGGACGATAAAAAAAAGACATTAATAGTGAAGATACACGTTAATGTTGATCGGTCTTAGGAAACACTGTTTCGTTGCGGTATTATGGCGACACGACGTCACACAGAGCTGGTCGCACTTACCAGAATAATAGAGGCGTAAGTATAACTTACACAAACCAGTCAAGCAGGTGCGTAGACGCACAACAACTTTAACACAGTAATAAAAGCTTTATGCTGGATCATATTAGGCCGATGTTGCGTTATGTGTGTCATATACCGTGATTTTAAAACGGCAATACCATAACTAGCAGTAACTTCTACATACTCTACATTTCTCAGCCGAGTTCCTATTAATGACATGTTCTACTTTTATAAACAAAACAAAGTCAATGTCTTGTGATTGTTTGTCTTACTTATTACGATTGAAGTCAAAAGCCAAAACCTACCTGTTTTTATAAAAGACGGTCTATTGTCGTTGTGGAAATATTAAAGTCTTTTTAGATCATGAATCGGCGGTATTGATATCGGCATCTTCATCCCTATAAGAATCACTATTGCTACAGCACGGCACCTGCTAGTGCTCCGGCTTGCAGGAAGTTACACACCTTTAGAAAAGCGCACCGCATACGTCGCCCTTCGTGGGGCTTAAGGGCAGATCTGCACGGGGATAAAGGCGGGGCCAATGAAACGATGCCTTTAAAACATACTCTGAAAAGTTAACCCCTGCCTGCGTACGTATTCCCTACGATGCTAAACAAGAACTGAAACAAAATTCCTTCACTCTGTATTTCAGTAATCCATTTCATATTTGCACTCGTATGCCGCGTTAAAAGATTTACCAAGGTAAACGGAACATTATAGGCGTTTAAAGGCAAAGTTACTTTGCCATTCCGCCGTAATGAAAGCAATGATTTAATTAGGGCCAATGAACTAAATCATTACTGAAAATGTAGAAATTGAACAGAAATAATTACCCTTCTCATTAATATCTGCTGACAATTAAAAAAAAAAAAAAAAAGATTACAATAACAAATGCAGAACCTGTCTAACTGCATCATAAGCCACTCTGAGAAGGGATTCCGGTGTGTGACTCCACCCTTCAAGAAATTAGGCACCATTTTTGTCTTCCAAAAGAAGGTACTTAGGATACTCACGTGACAGCTCTGTTTGCGTGACGCTCTTCTGGCTGGATGATGTCTTCAGATTTGCCCTTAGTGCCTGTTGTGTATGTCTATTGGGATAAACTTTGGAGGACCATCTTTATCAGACTGGATAAATTCCTAAGATGGACAGTCTTCTAAATCTTAGCATATGCCAAGGTAAAGAAAAACACTGTAAGGAGGTAAGGAAGTGGCTGTCAAGCACAGTTCCCCGACCATGTCCACATACTCCCAAAAACACACTGGCAAACAAAATCAGGAGGATTCATGTGCATCACGGCAAAGTTCACCCCTTTCCATGGCCTCTCCCATTACCAGATTTAGAAAAAAAGAATCACCGGACCCTTAAGGGATCTCTGCTTCCTTCATCCTTCAGAGAGCAGAGGCTGTTTTTCACCTCCTGTGCATTGCACATGAATCCTACACATACATTTAAAAAATCATTTTTTAAATAACATAAAAATTTTTGCTCTCAAGTGCATAGAATGAGGTGGAGTCGTCCGATTATTTGGCAGTGTGGTAGCAAATTACAAATTAATTTTCTTAATGAATTGTTAATGGATTCTGGAAAAGGAGATTATCATAGGGGCATCTAATGGACTAAATACCCGAATATCTAAGGGAATGTTATAAAGTTCACCCACTTAAGCGCAAGCTATGATTAGCATGCTATTAATAACATCTTACTACATGCTAAGCGAGAAGAAATGACAGATTTCCAAATTCATAATTGTTTTACTCTTAGTAATCTGACAAAGGTTTTAAAAGGATCCCGGGGTGGTCAGCTTTAGTGTCAGGTGGCTGGGGTGTCAGGTCTCACCTGGACAGGCCCGGCTGGGGAGACCTGGATTGGTTTGCATTGCTGGGAACAAGGGGGCCTTTGTCACAATGCCTAAACCGCATGTCGCAAAGCATTTGTTCTTTTATTCCCTGCCTCCATTCCAGGTATTTAAGACACCTGGAAAACTGGTCCGTCTTCAATCAGCCGGCTGCCAAAGCTGGTATAATCATGGAGAAAGAGGGAAATAAAAAAAATAAACCCAAACCTACTTAAATGTGTATCTTCTGCCTTCTTGGCCTCCGTCCCGTCATTCAGGCACCTCACGCGATCAGTGAGGCAAACCCTATGACAAGCTACAGCCATCATTAGCACAGGCAGCTCCATGGCAACCGCACAGCACAATACCACCCTCTGTAATCCTCGTGGCTGCAATTCCCTGTGCTGGCAGAATTTCGTCACAGCTCTGCAGACAACATAACAAACGCTGCCCACCTTAAACAGGGTTGCATCCACAAAGAACCGACTTGGCTCGCTTCTAGCCTGGGCAGCGGTCACTGTAAGTAAAGGTTAAGAATTTCCATGCAGTGGTGAACGATCGAACGGCTGCACTCCTGCTCACAATAGGACGTATCACATATCACTTCCCATTATTGCGTCAGTGGCGTAACGTGACAACACGAAAGTAAAACGGGACGTAACTTTTATCGTGTATAGGAAGGCTACACCTGCATTGTTGAAGGGGTTTCCCTGTCAAGGTTTAGTAAATGATCCAGGGTTAAACCAAGACCTATTCAACAGATGGGTTCATGCAACGCAACACACCACAGTGTCAGCCAGTCCCTGAAAAAGTCCCTTTTTAGAGTTATGGACCTTGGCCAGGGGTGCAATGCTGACTGCACTCTGGACCTTCAGCTGATGACCATCTAATCGCAGGCGTCGGGCGGAACATCCTAACCTGCTGACCACACACTGCCAGGCAATAAAAAACATGACACTACCTGTGACCCTGACAGGCAACATGCTGAAATACCAGACGAACAGGTGTGCAGTGTAAGTGTTGCGTACCTGCTCTTCCTCATACCTGTACCTGCTCTTCGGAGGCACAGCCCATTTTCAGGTGAATATACCAATATCATGCCACAAGGGGGCAGTGCAGGACCAAGGACTGTTTTGCTGACCAAACAGGACAACTGCAGTCACCCCTTCACATCAATGAAAGGGTGTCAATTCTCACGCATCTATAGTAACACTCAGGCTCTCCAACTCACACAGAAACACACAAATCTATATGATTATATTATAAATCCAAAATGAACTAAAAAAGTGTTGGCGTGGATTGCAAACCATAAAGACTATTTACGAGGTAGTAAAACGGTTACGTAGATGTAGATGCGTGTGCAGACTTGTCTTGAATCGAAAATCTCACGTCAGCCAGCTGACCAAAGCCGGCAACCCTGGAATGGGAAAATTATCCGTGCCCCATCCTGCCCCCCCCCCCCCAACCAATAAGTCTGCTTTCATACGATGGTATGAAAAGTCCACTTCTTACCAACTCACAAACAGATAGCACTGTACCGTACACTCTGCATACCAATTTGCTGTCATTTCCCATATAGACCCTTTTATATAATATACAAACCATCTAAATTATCCCCCTGTATGTACAAAGCTACCACTGTATACACTGGGAAAACTGCGTTTTGGACTCATTATTAAAGCGCGGGATTTGACAGCCACAGATAGCTAACGAGTGAGGCTGGTTGCAGGTGTTATGCCGAAAAATGCATCCCTGCCTTAGAATGCATGCCGGTGTTCCGACGAGTAGAGCTTT